CTTCTTTATCCATTCATCTGTTGAAGGGCATCTCAGCTCTTTCTATAGTTTGGCTATTGTGGACATTGCTGCTATAAACATTGGGGTGCATGTGACCCTTCTTTTCACTACATCTGTATCTTTGGGGTAAATATCCAGTAGTGTAATTGCTGGGTCATGGGGTAGCTCTATTTTTAACTTTTTTTTTAATTTCTTTCTTTCTTTTTTTTAATTTTACTATGTTATGTTAGTCACCATACAATACATCTTTAGTTTTTGATGTGGTGATCCACGATCCATTGTTTTCGTATAACACCCAGTGCTCCATGCAGTACGTGCCCTCCTTAATACCCATCACCAGGCTAACCAATCCCCCCTCCCCCCTCCCCTCTAAAACCCTGTTTGTTTCTCAGAGTCCATAGTCTCTCATGGTTCATCTCTCCCTCCGATTTGCCCCCCTTCATTTTTCCCTTCCTTCTCCTAATGTCCTCCATGCTATTCCTTATGTTCCACAAATAAGTGAAACCATATGATAATTGACTTTCTCTGCTTGACTTATTTCACTTAGCATAATCTCCTCCAGTCCCATCCATGTTGATGTAAAAGTTGGGTATTCATCCTTTCTGATGGCTGAATAATATTCCATTGTATATGTGGACCAATCTTCTTTATCCATTCATCTGTTGAAGGGCATCTCGGCTCTTTCCACAATTCGGCTATTGCGGGCAATGCTGCTATGAACATTGGGATGCATATGGCCCTTCTTTTCATTACATCTGTGTCTTTGGAGTAAATACCCAGAGTGCAATTGCTGGGTCATAGGGTAGCTCTATTTTTAACTTTTTGAGGCACCTCCACACTGTTTTCCAAAGTGGCTGTACCAACTCGCATTCCCACCAACAGTGTAAGAGTGTTCCCCTTTCTGCACAACCTCTCCAACATTTGTTGTTTCTTGTCTTGTCAATTTTTGCCATTCTAACTAGTGTTAGGTGGTATCTCAATGTGGTTTTGATTTGAATTTCCCTGATGGCTAATGATGTTGGACATTTTTTCACGTGTCTATTAGCCATTCATATGTCTTCTCTGAAGAAGTGTCTGTTCATGTCTTCTGTCCATTTTTTGACTTGATTATTTGTTTTTTGGGTGTTGAGTTTGAGAAGTTTTTCATAGATCGTGGATACCAGCCCTTTATCTGTAGTGTCATTTGCAAATATCTTCTTCCATTCTGTGGGTTGCCTCTTTGCTTTGTTGACTGTTTCCTTTGCTGTTCAGAAGCTTTTTATCTTGATGAAGTCCCAGTAGTTCATTTTTCTTTTGTTTCCCTTGCCTTTGAGAATGTATCTTGGAAGAAGTTTCTGTGGCCGATGTTGAAGAGGTTCAAAGTTGCAAATCAATCAATGTGATAGAACACATTAATAAGAGGAGAGAGAAGAACCATATGGTCCTCTCAATTGATGCTGAAAAAGCATTTGACAAAATACAGCATCCTTTCCTGATTAAAACTCTTCAGAGTGTAGGGATAGAGGGAACATTCCTCAATTTCACAAAAACCATCTATGATAAACCCACAGCAAATATCCTCAATGGGGAAAAGCTGAGACCCATTCCCTTAAGATGAGGAACATGACAAGGATACTCACTCTCACCACTATTGTTCAACATAGTACTAGAAGTCCTAGCCACAGCAATCAGACAATAAAAAGAAACAAAAGGTATACAAATTGGCAAAGAAGAAGTCAAAGTCTCTCTCTTCACAGATGCCGTGATATTTTATGTGGAAAATCCAAAAGAATCCACTCCCAAATTACTAGAACTCATACAGCAATTTAGTAATGTAGCAGGATACAAAATCAATGTACAGAAATCAGTTGCTTTCCTATACACTAACAATGTAACTATAGAAAAAGAAATTAGGGTATTGATTCCATTTACAATAGCACCTAAAACTATAAGATACTTTGGGATAAACCTAACAAAAGAGGTAAAGGATCTATACTCTAGAAACTACAGAACACTTCTGAAAGAAATTGAAGAAGACACAAAAAGATGGAAAAACATTCCCTGCTCATAGATCAGAAGAAGAAACATTGTTAAAATGTCTATGCTGCCCAGAGCAATCTATACTTTCAACGCCATCCTGAATAAAATACCAATGGCATTTTTCAAAGTGCTGGAACAGATAATCCTAAAATTCGTATGGAACCACAAAAGACCCTGAATTGCCACGGAAATGTTTAAAAAGAAAAACAAAGCTGCGGGCATCACCTTGCCTGACTTCAAGCTATATTACAAGCTGTGATCACCAAGATGTGATCACCAGCATGGTATTGGCACAAAAACAGACACATAGATCAATGGAACAAAATAGAGATTCCAGAAATGGACCCTCAATTTTATGGTCAACTAATCTTTGACAAATCAGGAAAGTATGTGGAAAAAAACACAGTTTCTTCAATAAATGGGGCTGAGATAATTGGACAGCCACATGCAAAAGAAGGAAACTGGACCATTTTCTTACACCGTAAAGATAAACTCAAAATGGATGAAAGACCTCAATGTGAGACAGGAATCCATCAAAATCCTAGAGGAGAACATAGACAAAAACCTCTTCAATATCAGCCATAGCAACTTCTTTCAAGACACGTCTCCAAAGGCAAGGGAAACAAAAGAAAAAAAATGAACTTGTGGGACTTCATCAAGATAAAAAGCTTCTGCACAGCAAGGGAAACAGTCAACAAAGCAAAGAGGTAACCCACAGAATGGGAGAAGATATTTGCAAATGACATTACAGATAAAGGGCTGGTATCCACGATCTATAAAGAACTTCTCAAACTCAACACCCCCAAAACAAATAAACAAGTCAAAAAATGGGCAGAAGACACAAACAGACACTTCTCCAAAGAAGACATATGAATGGCTAACAGACACATGAAAAAATGTCCAACATCATTAGCCATCAGGGAAATTCAAATCAAAACCACAATGAGATACCACATTACACCAGTTAGAATGGCAAAAAATAACAAGACTGGAAATAACAAATGTTGGATAGGATGTGGAGAAAGGGGAACCCTCTTATACTGTTGGTGGGAATGCAAGCTGGTACAGCCACTCTGGACAACAGTATGGAGTTACCTCAAAAAGTTAAAAATAGAGCTATCCTATGACCCAGGAATTACACTACTGGGTATTTACCCCAAAGATATAGATGTAGTGAAAAGAAGCAGCACATAAACCCCAGTGTTCATAGCAGAAATGTCCACAATAGCTGAACTGTGGAAGGAGCCAAGATGCCCTTCAACAGATGAATGGATAAAGGAGATGTGGTCCACATATACAATGGAATATTATTCAGCCATCATAAAGGATGAATACCCACCATTTGCATGGACATGGATGGAACTGGAGGGGATTATGCTAAGTGAAGTAAGTCAAGCAGAAAGAGACAATTATCATATGGTTTCACTCGCATGTGGAACATAAGGAATAGAATGGAGGATTACAGGGGAAGGGAGGGATATCTGAGGGGGTAGAAATCAGAGAAGGAGATGAACCATGAGAGACTATAAACCCCAGGAAATGAACTGAGGGTCTCAGAAGGGAGGGTGGTGGGGGATGGGGCAACAGTTTGATAAGTATTAAGGAGAGCACATGTTGTGATGTGCACTGGGTGATATACATAACTAATGAATCATTGAACACTACATTAAAAACTATGTACTATACAGTGGCTAACTGAACATAATAAATAAATAAATAAATAAATAAATAAATAACAACACAATAGCAAATCTGTAAATATGCAAAGGGAAAACATGTGAAAATAACACCTGTTGCTTTCATTTTACACAAGAACCCACTGCAGTCCTTGGAGTCCATGAACAACCTTTAGGAAGATAATACGAAGGATATAGCAAGTTTTCTATGAAAGTCACCATTTGTGATGAGCACTGGGTGTTACACACAACTAATGAATCATTGAACACTACACCAAAGACTAATGATGTACGCTATATTAGCTAATTGAATTTAAATAAATTTTTTTAAAAAATGAAAGTAAGCATTTTGAATGTGTGAGATGTATGGGTTAAAAACTGTTTCTTGTGGTTTTTTTCTCTAAAACTTAGCACTTAGGAGACCACCAGAGACCACCAGTGATTCATGGAACACATTTTGAGAAAAAACAATCCAAAGCTGGATTCTCATAAAGTCTATTCTGGAGCCCTACTTAAAGCTACTGCATAATATTTGGTCCTTCTGGAGACTCCAAGGGGATTTTGGACCCTATGATGATGAAAGGAGGAGACACTTTTGGGTGCCCGTGAAGTCATTTTCCAGTTCCCCTATAATCACATGATCAACTGCCTCCTCTTTCTGTGTTTCTAATTAGAACATCCACATGGCCCAAACCCCTTGGAGGTGGCAGCAGCAGTGGGATCACTCCAGGGCAGAGAATGGCCTGCTATGTGTTGACACCCAGATCAGTGCCAGGCACCACTTTGAGCTTTATGCTAAGATGGGTGGCATAATAGCAACAGTGACCATATTGGGGGCAGCAGATCTCTGATACAGGACTTCAGAGTGCCTGCCAATCACTAACCATATGCAAACAGTGTCCCCTTCACGATCTCTTAAGATTTGTAAGAAACACCAGTGTATTGCTTCACTCTAAAGACCTTTCCACCTGAGCCCATTTTCTTGTCCTACCCCCACCTGCCACAGCCCCATTAGCTTCCCATTAGTGACAGCTTTGAGAATTGAGCGAGTGGAATAAGAAGTCAGGTTACCCCAATATAGGGATGTAATAACCTCCCCCTCTATTTAACTTTCTTGTCCTGGTCCCAGGATTCAGGGCTGGCCAGCACCCACCATTGGTTAGGGGACACCATGGGCATTATTATACAGGATGCACATCCCTAAAAGGCCTGAATTTTAGATCTTTGACTTATTTCCCAACAAAGGTACATATATTCGTTTTGTGTAATGTGTTAATTTGTTAAGGCAAACATTTAAATACACACTTTTAAAAATTATGTATCAGCATTTCTTAATTTACTATATTTGCAATCTCAAAAAATGGAAGTGTCCTGGGCCTCTTGATCTCTGAGAGATGCTAGAGCTAAATGATCCAAAGTGGCATTGGGGCAATGCTCCTGCTGGGGTTCTATTCCTCCCTCCCAGCTAGCAAAGCTGACAAAGCCTGAAAGCCAAGTTTACAAATTCCAATGTGCAGACATTTTATTCCCAGTTCAGTGTGGGAAATCTGGACTGGGATTCCTGAGACAAAGTGCTGATAGTGACAGTATTTTACTAGGAATAAGGATGATAGGGAAGCACAGAGCAAATCATGGTATGTGCATCAAAGCCCACCCTCTAGAAATGGAACTGGAATCCTAATATCAATCTGGAGAGTTCAGAGGTCAACCTGAAAATTATAGGGAGCCACTAAAGATAGATGAGGATTGTGGCTTGTTTAGTACTGTATTTTAGAAAGATCATTGGCGGCAAGTGAAGCAAGAGAGACTGGAGCCTGAGGCTATTGTTCATGTATTTCTAAGTAGAAATGCAAATCAACTCCACCCAGGGGCATGGTTAGGGTCCTGTTCTGGGGTTTCCAGTTACAGCCTTGACAAGACAAATGGCCCTTCCCAGGCAAGGCACTTTGTGTGGATATACTGCATCCTCCCAAAGGAGAAACTCCCTCACATGGAACATTTCTCCCCCTGCAGGCCTAACTTAGTTGGGAGTAGGAAGGCCAGGAAACCTCTCAGAGGATAACAGGTCCAAGGGACAATAGGAGGTAGTTTCTTATTGGGCAACTTGAGGGTCTGAAGTCCCATTTTCTGGAACAGTCTGCCCATCGGCTTCAGCCATCATTTCCTTATACTGACGTTTGAAGAAGCCAACCTGTGGGGGAGGAAGGAAAAGAGAATTAGGAAATCCAGTGGAAGAAAGGAAAAGAGATGGCTGGGGGGAGAGGGTTCACTATTTCTGGAACACCTACTATGTTCAAACACTGCACTAAAATCTTTAGATACACTGGGTCATTTAGTGAACCGGGTGGAATCACCTTCAGAATGAGAAATCAAGGCCCGGCCTTGAACAGACACTGCCTACAGTCACAGACAGAATCAGTGGTAGTGTCAACACCTAATCCAGGCCACTGGATTTTGTGTTATAATTTGCTGTGAAGGGAAACATGCAGCGAGGAAGGTGGGAGTACAAAAGACAGGAAGAAGAGAGTGGAAGAGACAGGGAGAGCAATTAAAGGAGGCCTGAGAATCAAATAGGAAGGCATGGACATGGAAGACAGTTGGGAACCGGTGATGTCATAGGTGAATGGGGATCTCTCACATGCAATGACTTAGGAAGAATGTGCAACCTATATCCAAGGTGAGCTCTTTCTTACATTATAGAAAGAATGGGATCAAATTGCTGTTGGTGTCAAGAGCAGGATGGAAGCACTCACCTTGTATAGGATGGCTGTGATGAGAGCCAGCAGCAGCAGCCCTCCCACAGAGCTGCCCACAATAATGGGGATGGGGTTGTAGACCTCATACTTCTCCAGCACTGTCTCCACCTGGAGTGGAGGTGACCTCATCAGAAAGACTCAGAACTCTTGCTACCCCAGATTCTTCCTAGGTTCCCCAATTTTAAATCCCTCCCCTCCTTCCCTTCCTCCAAAAGGTGGGATATAAAAACACTCATGGGCTTAGGGATAACTCTCCTGTTGATGGACCTTCATCCTCCTTCCCTCCAGGCTTCTGAGCCTCCCACACAACACCAGAGATTTAGCATTAGGAGCCCTCTTACCAGCTTGGCCACTCCTACCACACAGTCACTACCTGAGCTCTCAAGAATGCCTCCTGTCCTGGAAGCTGGGAATACACGGATCTGTTGAATGTGATTTCAGCCACACTCACCACCAATACCTTCTTCTGCAATGTCTGCAATACAGAGGGGCAGAGCTGGGGATTAGGTCTGGGAAGGCTCAGAGTTCAAGTAAAGTCCTGGTTTGAGGGTGGCCACAGACACATCTGTTACCACCTGAATTCAGGGGAGAGACTCTGCTGTTGGGCCCACACACCTGGCTGACCCAACCAAAACTGAGGTTGCCCTTCAGGATGAAGTCAAGTTCCTCCTGAATGCCAAAGGAGGGGAGGTCACAGCAGAACCTCAGACAGTCAGCAGTGGAGCAGTCCTAGGAGAAGAGAAGTAACATTAGGCCAGAGAAAGGTGGTTTTAAAGGTAGAAGACAGCATTAAACTGACTGATATGAGAGGAGCAGCCACATTTGAATTCAAGAGGGCTATTCAGCAGACAGCCATCTGAGTGTAATACTGATTCTTGAATTAAATTCTTCTGATGTGTGGTTTAAAGTGGAAATGTCCCAGAACCCTCCTTACCAGCACAGAATTTTTCTGAATGTGGGTCAGGAAGTCAGACTCTCTGTGCACTATTCTCTCTGAAGAACACTGAATGGAGGGATTCTAGGAAAAGACACAGCAAGCATCTCAGTGGAGCCATCAAGGATTCATGAGGGACAGAGAGAATCCAGGTAAAGGGCATGAGCTGTACAGAGTCCTGGAGTACCTGGGGGTGGAAGACCTCTAATTCTCTCCACACAGGTACCCCATTCAGCTCCACAGGAACAGAGAAGATGATGCTGATAGGCAGGTCCCTCTGTCCCAGGTTGTTCACCTGCACAGAGGGCAGTGAGGACAAAGACCATGCCAAAATGCACATCCCTCCCTAATTGCTGGCTCCCAGCCCCCTGCCACAGCCCCTGCTCTTGAGTCAGCATCACTACCTGGTATCTATGCTGAGCCTGGTTGCTTTCCTCCTGGTCTGAGGCTGAGAAGTTGAGGTACTTGGTGGACTGTTCATGGCTGGTGAGAAAAGAGGCATGGATGGATTTGAAGTTCCATGGGGGCCTCCTAAAGATGTTCTGGTTAGCAGCATGATAGGATAGGTAGTCAGTGGGGCCTTGGGGTAGCCTGCAATGAAGTCTATGGCTGATGTTGGATAATGGGAGTGTTTATGGCTGGGCTTTAAGCTGGGTGTAAGGTTCTTGCAGAAGCTCCCAACAGAGGAAACTGCCAAGGGGACTGGGCAAAGACTACAGTGAAAGGGACCCAGAGCTATGCCATTGACTCACTGGAGGCAGGGGCCAGGCCATCCACTTTCATGGGCACAGAAGACACTGGATATGTGTGTGAGACACAGAAGAGTTTTAGAGAGACTTGGGCTGATGCTGTTGACAAATGTGTACTGAACACTACCCCTGTCTGGTCTCCCACAGGCCTTCTCTCCTGTCCTGTTTCCTTGGCTTTTCTGGCACTGGGGCTTAGAGGTGAGGGAAGGTCTAACAGTAGACTGCTGACTGGATCTCAGTGTAACAATTCATCCTGAGGCCTTCTCAGACCCATGTGTGGAGACCCAGTAGCCAGATTGGCTCCTTGAACAGGTAGGTGGTCTCACCTCTGCCCCTTCCTGCTCCACTGCCTAAGTACCTGTCCTTTGCCTGTACAGTCCAAATTCTAGACCACTTCTACTCTGAACCCTCATCCCTCCTCTGTGAGGAACTCCCCTAAAATGCCCCCAGATTCATCCTATGGGCCTCTCAGAATGTCCCCACCCAGAAAGTCAAATCAGCAGAGCACAGCTGAACTGTAGAGCCACATACATCTAGATGTAATGTGCCCTGCCTATGGGTCCCCAGTGCAATCTCTAGAAAGCAAACTCAGAGCATGCACCTGGCTGAGCTGCTGAGAGCTCCTGGTGTAGAGGTATGAATTAGAGTGTGAAACTGGGAAGGAAGAGGATGTCCAATGAGTCACAAGGGCAGAACTAGTACAGGGGAATGTACCCAAACTAAGCCACATGGGCTTGTTGTACATCGTGAGTGTACACATTGCACAAGGGCAGGTCATTATGTCCAATTTTGATTATACATAATAATGTTAAATGAATTTATAGAAAGCAACTATAGCCCTGCACTTAGAACATAGCAAATGCTAGGAAAGTATTTACTGAAAAAAGGTATATGTTCAAATATATGACTTGACTCCTGAATTTTAAACACTTCATCGATTATCCCTCCTGTAGCAGCATTTTAAGGTCTTTTTCTTTTATCTAGCTTCTCCCTGATACTCGGCCTCTGCAGCAAGCAGCTTATTTCTACCTATACCTCCCAAAGGGACTGGGAAAGGAAGAATAGCAGTTCTAAAAGCCCTTTAGGGTGAAAATCTGTTCCTTGCAATGAGGAATTGTCTCACTCAAATGCCAAGGGCTCTTTTGAGAATCACTGGCTAAGTTCAATGCTATGGACTCTTCAACATTCAGCTGAGGCCTCCCCTGAAAGGAGTCTCTAGCTGCTCTTGGAAACTCATAATAGCCTCAGGGTACAGAACCACAGAGAGGTCCTTGATGATATTCTGCCTTGGATCAGGGTAACCTCACTCCCCAACAAAGCTGTAAGAACCTCAAGACAGGAAAATGTCTCATATTTCTCAGGAAACCCAGGACAGTCTTAGTGCTTTTAAGAAAGACTTCTAAGAACCATAACCTCGGGGCACCCAAGTGGCTCAGTCAGTTAAGTGTCTACCTTCAGCTTGGGTCCTGGGATCGAGCCCCGCATTGGGCTCTCTGTTCAGTGGGGAGCCTGCTTCTCCTTCTCCCTCTGCCTACACTCTGCCTACTTGTGCTCTCTCTCTCTGTGTCAAATGAATAAATAAAATCTTTTTAAAAACAGAACCATAACCTCTATTAAATGTATGATATAATGATAATATCACAATTATTATTATAGCTAGCCCACAATAAACACTCAATACTTGATTAGTAAGTGTTAGCAGTATCATCTACCAATAGAAAGGGTAGTGATAAAACCTGAATGTCCCAGGTGTTCAACTGCTGCAGGGGCTGAAAACCTTGCTTAGACCCATCAGAACGATGGGGAGGTCATGGTATGGTACCTGCTGATCACGGTGTAGATGGCATACTTCACCATGAGCTCCATCTGAAAGGTGCTCTTGCTGGTCCTGGGAGTGTTATTTTCACTGGAGAAAGAGGAGGAGCCTAGTTGGCAAGGACCCCAGAGGAGGAGGCTAGGGGCAAGGAGATCTAAATACCCCCAGCTCACCTGCTCACATTAGCTGTCAGAAGCAGCCGGTCTCCCAGCATGGCCTTGGGGGAGACATCAAAGGTGACCAAGAAGGTGACCTGAGGAAGAGGCAGTAATTAAGGAGGTCACCAAGAAGTGAGATAGGGTTGGGGAAGGGAGCTGGGAGTGGACAGAAGCAAGGCTGACCTGGGCACCCTCAGGGAGGATGAGGTGGTTGATGCTGCAGCGGGTGCTCTGAATACCCTGGCCCTGGGCTGGGATGCCATCACAGGTCAGGTGTGGGGAGTGTGGCTGCAGCTGGCTCTAAGCAAGGGCATGTGAAAAAAAGGCAGGTAAGCATTTGCTCACGTTCCAAAGAGACTCCATGAAGTAGTGACAGTTTCCTGGTATCTACCTTAAGATTATGTTTTTTAAAAAATCCTCAGACCTAAAAAAATAAAATAAAAATCCTTAGGCACTATCTGGTAAAACTTCATCCTAGTAGCAATGCCAGATTTATTAGAGTTTACCCCATTTTTATTTACTGTTCTTTTTAAAAAAAAAAGCACTTTATTATGGAAATTTTGAAACATACTCAAAAGTAGAGAGAGACTAGATAAGTCAACCCCCCATGTTCCCATCACTCAATTTAAATTACCAACACTTTTCTACTTTTGTTTTATTTAGCTCTTTGCCACTTTTTTTCTGAAAAATTTAAAGCACGTTCTGAATATCACATCATTTTATCCAGAAATACCTCAATGTATGCCACCAACAGATAAGGGTATTTTTGTGCATTTCTTTTTTTTTTAATTTTTTATTTAAATCCAATTTAGTTAACATATACTGTATTTTTAGTTTCAGGGATAGAATTAGGTGATTCATCAGTTGCTTATAACTAACCCAGTGCTCATTACATCAAGTGCCCTCCTTAACGCCAATCACCCAATTACCCCATCCTCACCACCAACCTCCCCTCTAGCAACCTTGTTTGTTTCCTATAGTTAAGAGCCTCTCATGGGAGGGAGACAAACCATAAGAGACTCTTAATCTCAATTTTAAGAGTTCTGTATCACAGGAATTTAAATAGTGGCAATATACATACCTCTGTAGGTTCAAGTTATATAAATTAAAATCAAATAATTGGAATGTTTTCCATATGGAAAATATACAAATGAAATAAATTGCAAAAGGACCTAATAGGAACAATATTTCATTACTTATAGATTATCATTAGGTAATTTCAGCATCTAAACAAAGACTGAATATTCAGACTTCTTTTGTTGTATTTTATATTTAAATATCTTCCTACCTATATTCCAAGTCAAGGTACTTGACTGAAATGTCTGATTTAAGGGTGTAAAAAAGATGGTGGAGGAGTAGGGTACCCTATTCCAATCGGTCCCCTGAATTGAGCTGGATATCTACAAACGTCCACGAAATCAGCCTGAGATGTAATAAGATGTATCTGGATCTCTACAAACAGAATATCACAGGTGGTTGGTTTCGAGGTATGAAGCAGGAAGCCATGATTCCACAGGCAGATATCAGAAGATAAACAGAAGGGGGAGGGAGCCATGGGGATCCTACACCACCAGTGAGTGATAGCCTCCTGCACTGGGGACAGGGCACAAACTCATAGAGGGGTAGTGGTGGGGAAAGGAATTTATGGCAGCCCCCCAGACTGAAACAGAGCAGCAGAGCCACACATGCAAACTGGGGGCGGCTGGTGGTTTTAGAAGCACAAAGGGCAGAGACATGCCCCCATGCCCCAACTGGAGGCAAGGACTGGGAGCCCTGCTGAGGGGCCACACCCCAGAACACTGCAGTTTATAGCAGCACACACAGAAATGGAGATAGTGTGTGGCCTGGAGAGCTCACTGAAGAACAGACTGAGATCTCTCTGTTCTGAGGCACAGGGTTGGACACAGTCTCTTCTGCTCTGACTCTCAGAAGAGATGCAGAAAGCCACCAGGGAAAGCCGCCAGAGAACAAAAGCTCCAAAAAACGGTTCTCACCAGGTCCATACTGCGCCCCACCCCACCCCTGCTAAAGGAGGCAGGGCAACTCTGCCCAAATAGGATTGCCTGAGTAACAGCATGGCAGGCCCCACCCTCAGAAGACAGGCTGTGAGAACAAGACGCTGACATCCCTAAGGTCCCTATAAAACAGGTGCATCTTGCTTCAGTTGTGGTCAATAATTTAGACTGTATACATTCCCTCAACCACCCCTTAACAGAATGACTAGGAGGAGGAACCCCAAAAATAGGAAAGACTCAGAGACTGTGACTTCTGCCACAGATTTACAAATGGATACAGATATAACCAAGATGTTGGAAATGGACTTCAGAGTAACAATTACGAAGATGATAGCAAGAATGGAGAAATCAATTAATGGCAACATAGAGTCTCTAAGGGCAGAAATGAAGGCTGAACTGGCAGAATTTAAACGCTATCAATGACAGCTAGGGTAAGGGAGGCAAAAGAACGAATTAGTGATCTAGAAGACCAATTGATAGAAAAGAAGGAAAAAGACAAGGCCAGGAAGAAACAACTCAAAATCCATGAAAACAGAATAAGAGAAATAAGTGACACCATGAAACGTTCCAATGTCAGAATTATTGGGATCCCTGAGGGGGTGGAGAGAGACAGAGGACTAGAAGATATATTTGAGCAAATCGTAGCTGAAAACGTCCTTAATCTGGGGAATGAAACAAGCATTCATGTCGGAGAGGCAGAGAGGACCCCTTGCAAGATCAAGGAAAACAGGCCAATGCCCAGGCATGTAATACTAAAACTCACAAATCCTAGAACCAAGGAAACCATCTTAACGGCAGTTATGGGGAAGAGATTCCTTACATACAGAGGGAAGAACATCAGAATAACGTCAGACCTATCCACAGAGACCTGGCAAGACAGAAAGGCCTGGCAAGACATATTCAGGGTACTAAACCAGAAGAACATGCAGTCAAGAATATTTTGTCTGGCAAGGCTGTCATTTAGAATGGATGGAGAGATGCAGAGCTTCCAAGACCGGCAGGAACTGAAAGAATATGTGACCACTAAGCCAGCCCTGCAAGAAATATTAAGGGGGGGTCCTATAAAAGGAGAAAGACCCCGAGAGTGATATACAAGAGAAATTTACAGGGACAATCTAAAAAAAACAACGTCTTCACAGGCAACATGATGACAATTAATTCAATGCTTTCAATAATCACTCTCAACGTGAACGGCATAAATGCTCCCATAAAACAGCACAGGGTTGCAGATTGGATAAAAAGACAGAACCCATCCATATGCTGTCTACAAGAGACTCATTTTGAACCTAAAGATACATCCAGACTGAAAGTGAAGGGATGGAGATCCATCTTCCACAACAGCGGACCTCAGAAGAAAGCTGAGGTAGCAATTCTTATATCAGACAAATTAGATGTTAAGCTAAAGACTGTAGTTAGAGACACAGAAGGACACTATATCATTCTTAAAGGGTCTATCCAACAAGAAGATCTAACAATTGTAAATATCTATGCCCCCAACATAGGAGCAGCCATCTACATAAGCTAACTGTTAACCAAAATAAAGAGTCACATTGGTAACAATACGTTAATTGTAGGAGACCTCAATACTCCACTCTCAGCAACGGACAGATCATCTAAGCAGAAAATCCACAAAGAAACAAGAGCTTTGAATGATACACTGGACCAGTTGGACCTCATAGATATATACAGAACATTCCACCCTAAAACAATAGAATACTCATTCTTCTCAAGCACACATGGAACTTTCTCCAGAATAGACCAATACTGGGTCACAAATCAGGTCTCAACCGATACCAAAAGATTGAGATTATTCCCTGCATATTCTCAGACCATAATGCTTTAAAACTGGAACTCAATCACAAGAAAAAATTTGGCAGAAATTCAAACAGTTGGAAGCTAAGGACCACTCAGCTCAAGAATGTTTGGGTCAACCAAGAAATCAAAGAACTTAAACAATTCATGGAAATCAATGAGAACGAAAACACATTTTCCAAAACCTATGGGATACTGCAAAGGCGGTCCTAAGGGGGAAATATAGCCATCCAAGCCTCACTCAAAAAAATAGAAAAATCCCAAATTCACCAACTAACTCTACACCTTAGAAAACTAGAGAAAAAGCAACAAACAATGCCTAAGCCATGCATTAGAAGAGAAATAATTAAGATTAGAGCAGAGATCAATGAATTAGAAACCAGAAACACAGTAGATCAGATCAAAGAAACTAGAAGTTGGTTCTTTGAAAGAATCAATAAGATCGAATAACCACCGGCCAGACTTACCCAAAAGAAAGAGAAAGGACCCAAATTAATAACATTATGAATGAAAGGGGAGAGATCACGACTAACACCAAGGAAATAGAAACAGTTATTAGAAATTATTATCAACAACTATATGCCAATAAACTGAGCAATCTGGATGAAATGGATGCCTTCCTGAAAACCCATAAGCTGCCAAGATTGAAACAGGAAGAAATTGACAACCTGAACAGGCCAATGACCAGTAATGAGATTGAAGCAGTGATCCAAAACCTCCCAAAAAACAAGAGTCCAGGGTCTGATGGATTCCCTGGGGAAGTCTACCAAATATTCAAAGCAGAAATAATACCTATTCTACTGAAGCTGTTTCAGAAAATAGGAACAGAAGGAAAGCTTCCAAACTCATTCTATGAGGCCAGCATTACCTTAATCCCCAAACCAGGCAAAGACCCCATCAAAAAGGAGAATTTCAGACCAATATCCCTGATGAGTATGGATTCCAAACTCCTCAACAAAATCCTAGCTAATAGGATCCAATAATACATTAAAAGGATCATCCACCACGACCAAGTGGGATCTATCCCTGGGATGCAAGGGTGGTTCAACATTCACAAATCAATCAATGTGATAGAACACATTAATAAGAGGAGAGAGAAGAACCATATGGTCCTCTCAATTGATGCAGAAAAAGCATTTGACAAAATACAGCATCCTTTCCTGATTAAAACTCTTCAGAGTATAGGGATAGAGGGAACATTCCTCTATCATAAAATCCATCTATGAAAAACCCACAGCGAATATCCTCCTCAATGGGGAATATCTGAGAGCCTTTCCTTTAAGATCAGGAACACGTCAAGGATGCTCACTCTCGCCACTGTTGTTCAATATAGTACTAGAAGTCCTAGCAACAGCAATCAGACAACAAAAAGAAATAAAACATATTCAAATTGGCAAAGAAGAAGTCAAACTCTCTCTTTTCGCAGACAGCATGATACTTTATGTGGAAAACCCAAAAGACTCTACCCCCAAA